TGATTACTTTTAAAGGTTAATCAGTATCATATTGACCATATCAATTATACAAATGAAAAGACAAAAACTTTTTTCAGTTTTCTTAGGCTTTCAACATCTACATATGGCAATAATTATGAAAATAATTATAATATTGATGACACTCCTATCAAATCAATGTTCTATAAAATGTAAAAAATAAAATCATAATTTTCCTTTAAGAATTGAAGTTACAGGCTATCATCAATATCAATTATGTTGAGACTCCACCAATATGATTTATCTTGTTTAGAATATAATCAATTCTTGATTTAGATTTATAACTATATTCATGTTTAAACTAGTTTAAGTAGGGTTCAACACTCTGCCCTACTTGATGCATTCTGTAACAAGTAAGCAAATGTACAGGATCACTTTGTTTTATCACGAGTGGATTAGGGAACTCAACAGAAATGCTACACACAATAATCAACACATTTATTATCGTATACCAGATTTTAATTATATTTTTCGAAGTTTGTGTTCTGTGGTGACAGATAGGCCAATACTCTAAGTAATAACAAAAACAGTATGTATGCTTAGGCCTGTACATACAATACTAACTGCTACGAAATGACGTAATGATGTTGTTAGTGTAAATAGTAAAGCAATGACAAATGAAGACAAGGTCACGAAAATATAAGGTATAAATTGAGCCAACTGTTTAAAATATAGGCATTGTAACACTGAGAGAAGATTCTGAGTAGAAACAGTTTCCACGGCCAATCAATTAATTCGTCTGGCGATTGACTGAGCACTCACATGTAAGCAGGTAGACGGATGGTAAGCCAACGCATCTATAGTAAACCTACCCAGCCTGGGTTTTTAATTCAAGCGCTATTGATATTTCCAGGTACGTAAGTACCGTTTATAAGGTAAAATTGTAAATTACTTACGTGATAGTTTCCAAAATGTTCAATAAAGTAGCCTATTATCCACCAAGCAAATGTGTTTGACGCGAATGATACTTTCCTTGCGAACGCTCAACTAGACTGATCGTAACGTTCATAACATGCGCTCAGAGCATTGAACAATCAAGCAAGCTCACTTGTATGGTGAAAGTTCGTTCCCCTTGACCTAATTAAGCGTCTCTTGTGATTGGTGCAAAAGTAAAAGTCAACATAAGAAACTACTGTGATTGGTCAGCTGTCGTAGCCATTGGAGACAACGGCCCCGAAGTAGCATATCTGACAACATGCTCAAAACGATGCATTCGGTAAAACGAAATCCATTCGGTATATTGTGTACACACTAAATCAAACACCCGGTTGATAACGGTTTTTGTTGCGTACATCACAAGGCCGTTAGATGAAGTGAAGATAATATTACATATTATATTCAATGACTGTCTGCATTGACACCAACCTCTCCCAATGAGATAACAGAAATTTGGCCTATGGTGTAAATATTCAGGCGGTAAACTAGAGTGTACGCTTCTATTTAGTATTACTGTCAAGTAGATTTCTAAAATCGAAACCAACTAAAATAATGATGTATCATCCTACGTCATCAGAACGTGGTTATACTGAAGGACGAAGGACATTAATTTAAACAGCTACTGGTCATATAGTAATCGATATTTCCTCCATCTCGTCTGTTTTATCAGTATGATATTAGAGCAAACGAATTGTAATTACCAAATAATTCATATTTATAAGATGCTATTTAGTTATCCAACACAAACTACAACGCTACAGAAGGATGACTTCTGATTGTTAATTTATTTAATACGAATATGTCTAGGCTTGTTTGAAATCTATCACATAAAGTCAAAAGGAAATTAAAAAGAAACTAATTTACTAGTTTCTAAAGCACCGCACGTGCCTCACATTAAGATTTATCTTAAAATTTGGAATACGCTAAAATTACTCATTCAAAAAATGTTGAAATAATGAAATCAATTTCCAAAGAGACGCAGATCGAAACATTACGGTTTTTGCCGATTTACAGACATTTTTCTAAGAAAAACTTCTTAAATTGATTACCAGCAAATTTAGATGTCAATGCAAAGCGGTATAAATGCAATAACAAGGATTTTTTTATGAATTTTAATTGAGAACTAAAAACTTAACCTAAATATAGAAAGTCCTGGTAGAAGCAAGTAAAATATTAACACTGCAGTTTATATTGTTTATTTGTATTAGCTTCAGGCACAGGCAGTGGTTCTGTCTTAATATAGGCACAGTGGTGGATCCAGTTTCGCCACTAAATCTTTAAATTTCAATGTATATATTGAAATTAGAGCTGCTCACTTATGTATTCTGAATATGTTGTGCCACTCCCCCCACCCCCTCTGTTTTAAAAATTCTGGATCTGCCTCTGCACGATGATGATGATGATGACGACGAGGACGACGACGATGATGATGATCATGATGATGATCATGATTCGATACATTATTGAACTTTATCTGAATTAACTCGCATCACATCACAGTTTTATTGACCTGACCCTGTTTGACAGTTACGGTAGCAAGCCTACCGGAAGTGAAGTTCAATTTGAGTTTTGAAGTATTTAAAATGTGATATCCCAAATTGTTGTGTTGTAATTTGTTCCAGTAAGGTATCGTCCACTGGAAGAAGCTAGTGGCATAGATCGATGTTCTGACTGGTAGTTGAATGTAGGAGTTTGTGGTATCTCCTGGATTTTCGTGTGATTCGATACATCATTGAACTGAATCTGTAAATTAAATGATGATGGCAACGATGATGATGATAATCGATATATTTCCATTTCATTTATAATAGGCCTTATTATATATAATTAAGAATACGTCTATTTACGAAAAAAAAAAGATTTTATAGGCCTAAGTTATTAGCCATTTAAATTTACATTATGGCCTACCTTAACTAGAGGTTCGGGTGAATTGGTCGAGGTGTGCATTATCATTTTTTAAAATTTATTCACAAACCAGCAAGAAACTATGATGTTCAAAAACAGACTTTTAATGTCATCGAGTTGTAATTTAACTAAAGAATTCGCCTATGGCATTTGTTAATCTAAAATAAGGTTCTTAATCTTTATTAAATTTGCTAATTAAATAATTCGTTGAGGTTACAAGTAGGCCTAACGAGATTAGGCCTAACGCCTAATGGTTTGATACCGTATAATACAGTGCGTATTTTTTTTTTTTCAATAAGGGTACCGGGGTATAAAACAATGACATGCACAGCGGCGGAAAGAGGGTCAGGTGGAACTTTCCAGCCTTCCACCTGACAAGCCTGGACCTCCGTCACCCGACTCTACGATGAAGTCGTCAGGCTAAAAGTATGAATTTGCTTATCATTGCTTCGGACTCCTCTGTCAGAGGTTTGTTGAACCCCCTGTTGGAGCCGCCAATGGTTCAAAATTAAGTACGTAATAAATAACGTATACATTACAATATACATTACATACAATTATATAAAATACATACGGTACAATACATACAATACAATATTACAATATACATTTACAATATTGTGTTGGTTGCGTCAAAGCTGTCTCGAACCAGGTCCTATCAATAGCTACGCTAAGGATTTAGAAATGAGAGTTCATATTATAACAAACATTTACAACAAAAAGAACATTTATTGGAAGTTTCAATGTATAACAAATCTTCCATAGTACTTGTTGATGTTGTAAAACTACCACCCTTATATCTTCATCAAGCCACTTGTCATCATCATCGTCAGCATCGTTATCATCATCATTGTCGTCATCATCATCACCGGTCATAACCATAATCATCATCATCGCAATAATTAATATCAACATTTTTGTCGTCGACGTCGTTATCGTCATCGTCGTCGGCATCATCATTCTTGTACTTATCAAAGTCCATCATCATCATCATCCTCATATCATCATCATCCTCATTATGATTATCATTTTCATCATCATCATCATTATCATCATCATCATCATCATCATCATCATCATCATCATCATCATCACCTTCATCACTATCATCATTACTTTGACCATACACAATTAGACTATCCTGGGGTGTCGACGTTTCCTCTGCCGCCGACATTTCGTAAGTTGCAATGTCCTGGTTACGAAATGTCCGCGTTAAAGTTCGGAAAAAACCTGGTTACGAAAAGTCAGGTTTACAAAATTTCGACAACCCATGCTGGACTGTTTAATGTTACAGCAAAGCATCACTTTCTTTTTCCTGTCATTGCTGTCGTCATTTCCATCACTATCAGTTAGGCCTAAGTTTGGATATACTAAGAAATAACCTCAAGATTGAAACACAATTTTCCAACGCATGTCTACTAGGCCTATTTTTATGCCGTACTTGTTACTTCTTTAAGTACTCCATAGAATTCAACCCCGCCTTCAATAAATCAGCGTCATTAGAGACATGATTCGCATAATAATTGTGTCTTTGTTGATCGTCGTTATTAACCTGTCCTAGTTAGTAATCGTTTGCGCTGTCTCCATCTTTCGTCACTCCTAGTTATTTTCTAGTGTTTTCTTTGTTTATTTTACGTTATTTCGTCGGCTTTTATTGCTCTATTACATTTTCAATGTCGAAAGACTTGTCAATTTTCAAAGTTATCAATCAATGATGGATTCCACTTAGTCTTCCGATGCTCCAACACCATGGGATCAATCGTCTGCTCTCGCCTGCGTATCGTCTGCAATGCGTTCCACACGCGCTTAGTTCCATCTGTTTCGATATTTCACAGGAATTCGTTTGATTTTGATGGATAACAATCTTTAATTTAATTCCGAATAGAAAAAGAAAAAAAAAATAGAACGTTATCAAGAAAAACACAGAAAGGACTAAGTACACCGTTGATGCCGAAACAAGCAGGTCGTAAATTTTCTTTAAAAAAGGAAACCCGTTGTTTTATTTACACATGCTTCGTCTAAAACCGACCGAGAATGTTGTAGTGACCTGCTTCAGCTAATGAATAGAACTGTGGAGCTTAAAGTTAAACAATGTCCCATTTCTCACCTGTCGGTGTTGGGATGAGGGGGTATCGGGGTGGCATATTCAACCTAGTATGATTCGTGCATTTATAAATATTTGAACATAACCGAATATGATTTTCTTTGTTAAAAAATTAATCGAAAACGTTTCAACCTCCGCCGAAAGTTACTAAAGTTCATCTAAAAAAGAGTACCGTAAATCCTTGCCGAACCACTACGGCTCATAGGGCTGGAGCTTATCCCCAGGTACGAATTACCTATATAAGAAACAGGACACAATGCTCCCTGTTTTTTCTTTTCTTCTTTTTTTTTGTGTAGGCCTATTCGTTTTAAGAATTCAATATCTTTGGACAAAAAATATACTTTTCTTTCCCCAAATCGAATTTTAATAGGCTACATCCGTAGATTTAATTTAACCTCAGAATTGAAAACACAAATAACGAATGAATATTAAATCAACTCGAAATTAAACTTGTAAAGTTAATGAAGTCTTTAAGAGGATAAATAGGTTTATATGACGATAATGCGAGAAGGATGACGATACACAGAAAAACACCTCGGAAAAATTATGTTGATGTACCGTAATTTTTATCGTCCTATATATGGTTGTAGACCATTGTACGTATTTAATTGCAAAGTGAATCAAGTTCCCGAGTTCTTCCCATAGGACCGAAATAAAAGCGTACGTATACCAACTTATTAAGGATAAAAACTGCTAACCAAAAAGTAGAAACCTCGAAGAACGATATTTGAAAAATTGGACAAATCCGAACCGTGGGTAGAAGCCATATTTTGTGTGTCGAAACTAGATAAAAGACTCGCTGAGCTTAGTCGATTCCCAACAGACAGAAAAAATGTCGAAATTAGTTCGGGTCAGCTCGTTGGTTGTAAACACGGCGTGATTACAGTCATTTAAGTAAGCGGTTGAAATGTTTTATCCGTACTTTGCACGTTGCCGAGTCCAAATGAAATTCAATTTATCAAAATTTAGACCCTGTCTCTTATACACATCTAGATGTGTATAAGAGACAGTATGTATATATAATGCCTATATACATTTTTTGTTGAAGGGCTGATTGATACGAATATGACACATGTACCTGAAACGGAAGTGTTTCGATATGCATTTTAAAGGAAGTTATGTTTAAAAATCATTAAAAATATCAATTCAATTGTAGGCCTAATTTAGTGTTTTTTTTTTCTCCTAGATTTCATTTCACCGAAAGTCGGGTGTACAGTTTTATGCGGAGACCGCAATATTTCTATGAAAATGAACATAAGATGTGTATAAGAGACAGGATATACATAGAAGCCCTTTCTGGTCCACTAGTGCTAGTCGTAAGCATATCAATCTCCCAACCATTTCCTCAATTCAGCCTTCATATTATACTGCGACATTTTACATACAATCACAGCAATGTATAAACAACCGGTCTATCCA